AAAAGCACAGAAGGAAATATAGTGAGAAGCAGCTCCCTCTTGCCCCTGTGCTGGCCAGAGGCAGCTATGTTTTACTCATGCGTCCTGGGAGAGCCTGCGCATCCACAAGAGTGGATGTGTATTTTTTCTCTAATTTAAAACTCAAATGACAGTGTGGTAGAATTTGAATTAAAAAAAATCTCACATCATGCAGTGTGTTCCAAAGGAGATAAGATCACCTACTAAAATAAACTTTAGAATAGGAGTAAATTTAGCAACATAGAAGGACACCCAGGATACATTGTTAAGTAAAAAAAAAAGAAAAAAGAGGTTCTAAAATAGAGTGTATGTATGGTTCTATTTTTGTTAAAAGTTATGTTCTCTAAGTCTTTTTAAAAAGTTTGAACTGTCACAGCCAAGAAGGGTCTAAAGAGACATGACAGCTCAGTGGAGTGTGGGTCCTGGTTGGGATCCTGGAACAGAAAATGGACATTAGGGGAAAAAACTAAGGAAATCTGGCTAAAATTTTGTTGTGTGTAGCTACCAGTATTATCCAGGTTTTAAAAAGGAGAAAATCCTGGCCGGGTGTGGTGGTTCACACCAGTAATCCCAACACTTTGAGAGGCCAAGGTGGGAGGATGGCTTGAGCCCAGGAGTTTGAGACCAGCCTGGGCAATACAGAGAGACCCCATCTCTACAAAAAAATAAAATAAAATAACAAAAAGGAGCTAGACATGGTGTTGCCTACCTGTAGTCCCAGCTATTTGGGAGGCTGAGGTGGGAGGATCGCTTGAGGCCGGGAGGTTGAGGCTGCAGTGAGCTATGATGGTGCCACTGCACTTCAGCCTGGGCAACACAGTGAGACCTCCTCTCTAAAAGAAGAAGAAGAAAAAAAGGAAATCCTGCAATGTGTGACAACATGAATAAACTCGGAGGAAATAATGCTAAGTGAAATAAACCAGGGATAGAAGGACAAATACCGCATGATTCCACCTATAGGAGGAATCTGAAATAGTCAAACTCAACAGAAGCAGAGAGTAGAAGGGTGGTTGTCAGGGGTTGGGGAATAGGGGAAACAGTGTTGCTGATAGTTGCTGTGTAAAGTTTGAGTCCTGCCAGCCGAAGACATCCTAGAGATGTGCTGTACAGCAGAGCGCCGTCAGTGTTGGGCATTTACAAATCTGTTAAAAGGGTAGGACCCATATTAAGTGTTCTCGCCATATAATAAGTGTAAACACTAAGGAAATCAGACTATGGACTTTATAGTTAATAATATCTCAGTCTGGTTTGTTAATTGTAATAAATGTTCCATGCTAACATAAAATATTAATAATGGGGGAAACCTGGTGGGTTTGAGGTATATGGGAGTTTTCTGGACTCTTGGCAGTTTTTCAGCAATCTAAAACTGTTCCAAAACAAAGTTTAGACAGACACCACCATGTTGTCTCTTGAGAGTGGGATTACATGTGAGTCTTCCCCCTTTGGCTTGTCTGTGTTTTCTGAGTTTTCTACAGTAAACATGTATTATTTATATAATATATTAATGACAGAACAGAACATTAGCTACGCCACGCTGACTGCACCAGCCCTGGTGGCAGAGGGTTCCAGGCATGGCAGCCACCCTCACTGTGAGTGCCGTAAGGGCCCAGTTGCTGTCCAGGGCACTGGCCTGGGAAGGGGCTGCCTTCTTTTGATATACAGAGGCCCCAAGTCAGTCCAGAGGAGACCGGAATCCATTCACCTGCCCTTGGCTATGATGATGTTTCCAGCATTGAACTTAAAAAAAAAAAAAAAAACTTCCACTTTATTTTAATTGTTTGAGATGGAGTCTTGCTCTGTTGCCCAGGCTAGAGTGTGGTGGTGTGATCTTGGCTCAGTACAACCTCTGCTTCCCAGGTTCAAGTGATTCTCTTGCCTCAGCCTCCCGAGTAGCTGGAATTGCAGGCGCCTGCCACCACGCCCGGGTAATTTTTTTGTATTTTTAGTAGAGACGGGGTTTCACCATGTTGGCCAGGCTGGTGTCAAACTCCTGACCTTAGGTGATCTGCCCATCTTAGCCTCCCAAAGTGCTGGGATTACAGGCGTGAGCCATCATACCAGGCCCAAAAATCTTCCACTTTAAAGAAAATATCATTTGGTAATTAGAAAAAGGTAACATTTTGTCACCGTGTATGAAAAAAGTTATTCATTTAATACCTGTTCATTGTAGAAAAAATGGAAAGTACATAAAACTCAAAGAGAAATTAAAAGCACTGGAATCTACTGCTCGGAGAGAACTGCTTTTTACATTCCCAAATTTTAAAAACTCACCAATATATGGCATAACCACAGTATACGCATAGATGACTTTACAAAAACTGGGTCACACAATGGATATGACTTGATCATTTGCTTTTACCTCCCAGTAATATCTACTGACCTGTTTTCTATGTTAAATAAATATACATCTACCCTGTCCATTTAGATGACTGAATTGGACTCCGGTATACTGTCAAACTATACTTGATTAATCCTGCATTGCTGGATATGTGGGACTTTCTCCCTACCCTCCAGATTTTAAATTATAGACCAAGTATTTATGGAGGCCTGCTGTGAGCCAGGAGCTGTCCTGAGCCCTGGAAACCCAGCAGTGCCTGTACAGACCTGGCCCTGCCATCAGGGGGCACCTCTAAGGAAACCGGGAGGCAATAATTGTAGCTCCCTTGCAGGGAGGTTGTAAAGGCTGAGTGAGGACATCTGTGCACCTGGAGCACAGTGTGAATATGAAACCAGTGTCAGCCATTACTGTCATCAATACCATGAGGGGTGGCGGGGGCAGGGGCACTAAGGCTGGCAGTACTCAATATCCAGGTTCTGGGGGGTGCCAGAGCCTGACCACACAGGGCCTTCTCTCCCTCCACCCTGACTGTGCTCTCTCCCCCAGGGCTGGACATCCACTTCATCCATGTGAAGCCCCCCCAGCTGCCCGCAGGCCGTACCCCGAAGCCCTTGCTGATGGTGCATGGCTGGCCTGGCTCTTTCTACGAGTTTTATAAGATCATCCCACTCCTGACTGACCCCAAGAACCATGGCCTGAGCGATGAGCACGTTTTTGAAGTCATCTGCCCTTCCATCCCTGGCTATGGCTTTTCAGAGGCATCCTCCAAGAAGGGTATGGGGCTGCTAGAGCCTCCATAACTGCCCCGTCCTTGCCAAGGGTGGGCCAGATGTTCCCACCAGGCTCTCCTTCCGGGAGGGTGAGCAGGGAGTTGGCCCTAGGAAGCTGGGAAAAGAGGGACCAGAGAGGCTGGCCCCAGACACACTACCCTCCAGGGTTGGAGATGCCACCCCTACGTTTGGGCTCCAGGATTCCTTCTTGCCTCTGAGCTTTTCTCACCTCCACCTGGGAGGAGGCGGGCCTGAGAAATTTCACAGAACCCCCAGAGGGCCCATGGAGCAATCTGCCTGTGACTCCATGCCTTTCCCCATCACCGCCAGGGTTCAACTCGGTGGCCACCGCCAGGATCTTCTACAAGCTGATGCTGCGGCTGGGCTTCCAGGAATTCTACATTCAAGGAGGGGACTGGGGGGCCCTGATCTGCACCAATATGGCCCAGCTGGTGCCCAGGTGAGGTCACTGTCGGGGTGGTGTGTGTGTGTTTGTGTGTGTGTGTCCTCTAAGAGATGGACCTCTGTGCGGGGGGGCCAAGGTCCCCCCAGGGGAGAGGAGGGAGTGTGACTGTCACTCAGCAGTGCCTGAGGCATGTTGACTTGGATTTTCCTGTCTGTAACCCAGGGTTGCGGCTCTGGGCCAGGTTCCCAGGCAGAGAAGGCCTGTGATAGGAGGGGAATGTCAGGCTTTAGACCTCTGCTGGACCAAGCTCTGGGATAGCACTGAGCAGAACTCCCCAGAAACTATTTTCCCCCCAACCTCCCTCCTCCAACTCCCATGGCCTCCCCAGGGGGGCTGGTGCTGAAAGAGGCTGGCCCTGTGCTCACTCCTCAACCCTGAGGGCTGTTCCTCCTCCGCCATCTCTCCTCTCCCGCTCTCCTTGACACCACCCCAGCCTCACCTGGGCCCCTCTCTCTGCCCTCAGCCACGTGAAAGGCCTGCACTTGAACATGGCTTTGGTTTTAAGCAACTTCTCTACCCTGACCCTTCTCCTGGGACGGCGTTTCGGGAGGTTTCTTGGCTACACTGAGAGGGATGTGGAGCTGCTGTACCCTGTCAAGGAGAAGGTCTTCTACAGCCTGATGAGGGAGAGCGGCTACATGCACATCCAGTGCACCAAGCCCGACACCGTGGGTGAGCATGCTCAGGGGGCCTCGCCCACTGCTGGCTCCACTGGGGTGGCGAGACCCCGCGGGGGAACCTCACCACCCCACCCCAATGCTGCCCACAGGAGAAAGCCTCTTATAAGGACCTCCCAGCCCTTTAGGTCTTTAAACTGCATTTTCCCATAAAATCAAGAGGATGACTCTCAGCAGATTCCCAGGCCAATTTAGCAACTCTGTTTAGCCCACTCAGCATTCATAGTGGCTTTCACCCCTGATCTCCCACCCCTGAGTCTATATCCTACACTGAGAAGCAGAGGGATGGAAGGGTTGGGGTAGGAGGAATCCTGGGGGTGGGCAGCTCTGGGCTGCAGGGGAGAGGGTGCCCTGGGGCCTTGGGGAAGAGGTTCCCAGGCAGTGAGGGAGGGTCCAGCAACCACATCTGCCACCAGGGTCCTGTTAAAGGACAAAACTTTTTCAAAAAGATAAATTTATAAAGGAACCAGTAAAATTTTAAAAAGAAACAATTCAAAGACAAATAACACTGAAATTAATTTGCTGACAGACACAAAACTTGTCAACATCCACAGAGTAATAGCAATTAAATCACCATGGGACAAAATTCATTTGCCTCTATGAACGAGTCATTCGCATTACCCTCAGTTCTCTACAATTCACAGAACTGTAAAATAGCTCAATGACAAGGAAAGATGGGAATTCTATAGAATCACATAAGTCCGGAAGGTCTGCTACGTAACTCCCTAGATCTTGTTCAGAAGACACCCAGGAATTATCTTGCCCATTTTTAGGTTCTTTATAGTTTTCATGGCAGTCCCATGCCCACACACGAGGCAGCTCATAATCATAATAATGGCACTTTATAAAATCAGTATTTTTCTCTGATTATAAAATACATGTTCATTGTCAAAAAGATTAAAAATGCAAAAAGTACAAAACATTAAAGGCAATCTCGTATAACCTCTCCTCCCTCCCCACATCCCCTCTCCTTCAAAAGAACTTGTGAACATTTTGGTGATTAATTTTTACAAGTCAAGTATATCCATATCACCAACACGGCCCCAACACTCCAGATGCCCCTCAGGGTTCTCTCCCAGACACCATGCTCTGACTTCTGACTGAGATGGTTTTGGTTGTGCCTGTTTAACTCCTTCTGTGAATAGAATCACAGAGTATGTACCCTTGAGTCTGGCTTCTTTTGCTCAATATTATGTTTGTGAGATTCATCTATGCTGTTGTCACAGCCATTTTTTTTTTTCTTTTTTTAGACCAAGTCTTGCTCTGTTGCCCAGGCTAGAGTGCAATGGCGCAATCTCAGCTCACTTCAACCTCCGCCTCCCAGGTTCAAGCAATTCTCCTGCCTCAGCCTCCCAAGTAGCTGGGATTACAGGCACCCACCATCACACCTGGCTAATTTTTTGTATTTTTAGTAGAGATGGGGTTTTACCGCGTTGGCCAGGCTGGTCTCGAACTCCTGACCTCAGGTGATCCACCCACCTTGGCCTCCCTAAGTGCTGGGATTACAGGTGTGAGCCACCACACCCAGCTTGTCCCAGCCTACTTTTTTTTTCTTTTTTTTTGAAATGGAGTCTCGCTCTGTCGCCCAGACTGGAGTGCAGTGGCACGATCTCAGCTCACTGCAACCTCCGCCTCCTGGGTTCAAGCAATTCTCCTGCCTCAGCCTCCCAAGTAATTGGGATCACAGGCATCGCCACCATGCCTGGCTAATTTTTTTGTATTTTTAGTAGAGACGGGATTTCACCATGTTAGCCAGGATAACTCCTTACCTCAAGTGATCCACCCTCCTTGGCCTCCCAAAGTGCTGGGATTACAGGCATGAGCCAACGCCCCCAGCCTGTCCCAGCCATTTTTAATGACTGTACAGTATTTTGGCTTATGAGTATATCAATATTTATTTGTAACTGATCCCTTATTTTAGACTTTTTTAGGTGGCTTCTCATTTTTCATGAATCACAACACATAGACTAAAAAAACCCCACCTTTTTAAAAATAGCACTTCTCACTGGGACCCCACCAAATGCAGAGGCATGGGCCCTTCCATTTGAAGGAAGCTAAGCAGGCAGTGTGCGAGGAGGCCCCAGGAGACAGTGGGAAGGTATCGTCACTGTTTATCAGATGAGGATGCCGAGGCAGAGAGTTAAGGAAGCGAAGCGTGTGAGCACTCAGGAGTTAGGGCAGACCTGTGCTCGAACGTGGCTTCCTGCCCACAGCCCCGCCCTCTGTGGCCAGTGCCACATGTCACACATGAAGCTCCAGCTCCCTGGTCCCCAGGCCTGAGTCTCTCCCTTGCTCCCCTCCACGCCAGGCTCTGCTCTGAATGACTCTCCTGTGGGTCTGGCTGCCTATATTCTAGAGAAGTTTTCCACCTGGACCAATACGGAATTCCGATACCTGGAGGATGGAGGCCTGGAAAGGTGAGACCCTGGTTTGCCCCGGCAGTTGTGACCCTGGTCCCAGCAGCCAACCTCCTCACCCTCTTCATCCCCTTGTCTGGTTGCTCTACATGGGGCGCTCACCAAATTCTATTGTTGACTTTCTTACAAATCCTCACCCCATGACCAACATAGCTGCATTTTTCGGGTGAGGCGGCCTGGTGAGTTGCTCCCAGCCTCACAGTGCATGGTCAGGACTAGGATGCAGGCTCACCTGCTTGTGCTCCTTTTGCTGAACAGGCCCCTCTGGGATTAGGGAGCCCAGAGGGCAGCAGGCACCACGTTATTGCCAAGAGCATCTGGGCTCTTGCTCCTGCTTCCCTGGAGAACCTGGCATCAGGGTCACATGACTGCGTATTCCAGGAGGGTGGTCGCAGAAAGACAGGAGGCTGTTACATCTCTCAGAGCTGTATCCTCTACATGCCTGACTCCCAGCTCTGTGGCCTGACTCAGGCTTCACCAAGGTCAGCTCTGACCCACCCTTTCCAGGGCCCATCCCTTTATTCCTTCAGTGACACACAGGGGACCAGATAGTGCTGGGGATGAGAAAGAGAGTAAAATGAGACTGAATCCCGCCTTAGGGGTAGGGACTCTGTCTTGGCCATGCTCTAGCCCCATCACCTAGAACAGTGCCGGGTGAACAGTGGGAGCCCAGTACCTAGATGTTGAATGAATGCACAAAGGACTGTAAGAGTTCAGTGTAAGGAGGATTCTCTTTGTCTAAGCGGCAGAGAGGGGAAATGACCAGGAGAATGTATCTGATTTGGGCCTTGGAGGATGAGTAGGAGTTTGCTGGATGGAGGAGAGAAATTTAGGCAAAGAGAAAAGCCATAAAAAATGCAAGGAAAGGGTGCTTGGAAAGGGTGGCTTGTCCAGAGGCTGAAGCAGGTACACTAGGGCCAGATTGCAAGCAAACTCATTCTTGCAGGCAGGTCCTCGCCTCCTCCAAGAGCCTCAGCAGGGCCTTCCTCTGGGATCTGCTTCCCCTGCCCTACATTCAGCAGGACCCAGGGGTCGATGGAGCTCCTGCAGGACCACATTGGCAAGGGGTCTGGCCTGTTCCTTCTACACAGATACCTGGAACCAGACGCGAGGCCCCACCAGACTGTCCCACTAGGCCACTCCTGCAGCTCTGGCCCCAGGTTACAGGGAGCACCAAAGCCCTGAGCAGGAGGCAGACAGGATCAGATCTGTGTTCCAGAAAGAACCGGAACACACAAGAGTGGAAATGGTGGTGGTGGTAGTTTTCAAGCTGCAGGCAGAGCCGAAAGGGAGATGGAAGCACTTGGCCGACTTGCAGAAATCCAGCTCACAGAGTTGGCGTGTGTACTGGAACTAGTTTTCATTGATGTTTTCATTTTGCCACCAAAATCACATGGAAAAGGCTGTTCCCTTTATCTCTGCCCCTGCTCCGTGCTGCTGTTGCTAGAGATCCAGGGTTTGAGACAGGAAGGTGGGGTTGGGAGCGCCTGCTCTGGGGACAGTGGAAGGTGGGGTGGGGCTGTGGAGTGTGCATCCTAGACCCAAGTTGCCCAGGTTTGAATTCTCCACTTAATAAGTAAAATGGAGATAATAGTACCTATGTCCCATAGGCTATTGAGAGGAAAACATGAATTAAATGAAGGTAAGGAGCTTAGAACATGCTGCCTGGTACGTGGTCACCATAGTAGCTGATGTCCTGAGCAGTTTCATGGTGCAGGGGTGGAGGGGAGGGAGGAGAGGTCAGTGGCAGGAGAGAGGGGATGGATGTGTAGAGTCAAGGTGGGTGTGGGGGAGGACCTTGGGGTGATAAGAGACACTTTGATTAAATTCATGCGCTCCAGTCTGGTGTCCTGGGCAAAGCCTGCCTGTGACATGAGGATACCACACACCTTGCCTGAGGTCTGAGGAGGGAAGCCGCATGGTCAGGGCCTGGCATTTGTAGGACTTTCCAGCTGCCCTTTGTCACACAACTGCATCTGGCACTAAGAGCGGGGCTTTGTGTTCTGTGTTCCCAGGAAGTTCTCCCTGGATGACCTGCTGACCAACGTCATGCTCTACTGGACAACAGCAACCATCGTCTCCTCCCAGCGCTTCTACAAGGAGAACCTGGGACAGGGCTGGATGACCCAGAAGCATGAGCGGTGAGCCTGGCTGACTGAGAACAGGGGCCTCTGAGGCTGGAGGCAGGGGGATGGCCAGTCTGGAGCTCCAGTAAGGGCCCTTGGTGGTGGGATAAGTATAGCCTTGCCTGCAGGGGTGCCCCAGGGCCCTTGGATGGGAACACTAAAGGTCAAGGGGTTGGGAGAAAGCCCTCATGGAGGGACCACGTGCCTGGCTCCCAGGCAGCCCTCAGTACTGCTCCCGAGTCCAGGATGCTGGTCTGAGTGGCACTGATGGTTCTGGGATTTCCAAGTCTCACATGGAGACCCTCAAAGGTGGGGATTTAGAGGCTGTCCTATGCCTCTGCCTGGGTGGCTCTCCCACAAAAGAGAGGATAGTGAGGGGAGCGGTTGAGACCTGGATTTGTCCTTTTCTTTATGGCTCCTTGTGGGGGGGCCAGCTGATCTCATCCGCCAGGCTCTTGAACCCCCTGCTATGCAGGACGGAGAGGCGCAGGGCCACAGCCTCCCGCACCCCATCGGCTCTTTCGCTTTCAGGATGAAGGTCTACGTGCCCACTGGCTTCTCTGCCTTCCCTTCTGAGCTAATGCACACGCCTGAAAAGTGGGTGAGGATCAAGTACCCGAAGCTCATCTCCTATTCCTACATGGCCCGTGGGGGCCACTTTGCAGCCTTTGAGGAACCGGAGCTGCTCGCCCAGGACATCCGCAAGTTCCTGTCAGTGCTGGAGCAGCAGTGACCACCCCACACCGCCCCCTGCCTCCCTCCACAAGTGCCCTCCAGGCTTTTCTTTGGGAAGATACCCCTTTTCTGAGGAATGAGTTTGCCTCCGTCCCCTGCCCATGCTGGGAGCCCACACTTACCCCCTCACCCCTCCAAGCTCACTCCCCAATCCCCAACTCTGTGCGATAAGCAATATGGCCTTGATGATAAATGACTTTACTTCTAACAGCGGCTGGAACCCAGTGACATAAGCATGCCCTGACCCCACATGGGGCCCCCTGTCCAAGCAGAGCTGGCAGGCCCCTCCTTGCTGGCAGAGGCACAGGAGGCCCATTGAGGATGAGGCCACTGGCCAGGGCTGTGCTGCACCAGACCAATGGCACCGCCCCCACCCCTCCCAGCACAGGGGCAGCTTGGAGCAGAGGCGGCATTGGCCGCCACTGCAGGCGCAAGTCAGCGTCAACAGGGTCCCTGAGTCAGAAAGCCCAGGCCCACTAGGTCAGCGGACAGGCACAGGCAGGGCCTGCAGAGGTGCCAAGGCCCTGGCCCAATTGGGCTGGAAGGAGCCTGGACCTGCTCTTCCGCACCCCCTCCCACCCCCACGGCACAGGCTTGTGCCTTGGTGCCCCCTGGAGGTAGCAGGGAGGAGGCTTCTCAGGCAGAAGTCTTAAGTTGCATCCCATCCCCTGGAATCTCCAGGAGGGAGAAGAGGGACAGCCCCTCCTTCCTGCCAGAGCCACAGCTCTAGGACAATGGGATGGCCCTGCACCCAGCCCAGGCACCCCCTCTGTGCCAACCATGCTGTCCTTTGGTTCCGAGGAGGCCCTGAGCACTGCCCACCCCCACACCTTGGAGGGAGCAGACAGAGGGTGAGTACTGCACAGAGCCTGCCTGGAGGTGCAGACTCATGCACTCAGCCCTGAAGAGGTGGGAGAGGCTGGATCTTAACTGTGGTCCAGTGGGCACATTATGAGTGGTCCTTGTCCCTGCCTGTTATGGGGTGTCCCTGACATGATACAAAAACACAGAACTGTAGTGGGATACAGAGGTGTGTGCACAGCTGGCTGGAGCACTGGCCGCCTCCCAGCCTGCTCCCCATAGCTCACTCCTGGGTGTAGCCTGGAGGGGCTGCCGGGTTGGGGAGGGACTGGCCATGGAACAGGGAGCTGGACGCCAGCTCATCTCAGACCTGGACTGCAGCATCTCTTTGGTTATCGGTTGTGTGTGTGATCAGAAGGGAGGAGGCCTTCCCCTTGTTACATCTCTCTCTCCATATATTCTCCCAGACTCATCAGTTTGGGGGGCGAAAAGTCCACCACATGGTCTTGGCGACAAACCACTGGGGATGTCACCCCAGCTGCAGAGCCACAAGCTTGTGCCAGAGGGGGAACTGGGTGAGCAAGGTAGGGGCGAGGCCTGCATGTGCTCCCCTCACCACTGCTGGGACCAGAAAAGATGGGCACCTGATGGCTCAGCTGGGCAGTCCCAACACATTCCCGCTCAGCCAAGGGCCTGAGACCCAGGCCATTCTGGTTGTGTCTTTTTAGAGCAGTGAGACCTAAAACAGATGGGAAGAAGTCATGAACTTGGGAGTCAGGCTGCTTCGCCTGTCTTCTCACCCTGCTTCACCTTTCTCACCCCACAGGCTCCCCTGAGCCTGACCCAGCCAGTAGCTCACCCGGCCTCAGGCCTCCTGTGGGGCAGCAGCCACACTGCCCATGGAGCTCTGTGCCAAGCACTGTCCAGGGATAGTCCCGCTGATGTTGTGGATGGCACCATAGGTCTGCTGCTGCTGCGGAGACAGTGCTGTCCTCTCCGAGGCCAAGCCGTTCAGAATCCGAGGCACATAGGGCTGTCAGCAAATGGATTCGTGCTTGGCTTGGGGCAGGCATGAGATTCCACACTGCATCCCTCCCCTCCTGCCCTTCTCCTCCCAACAGAAGGACACAGACAGTGGCCATAAAGGACATATGAAGAAATAGCAACATCAATTTAGGACATTAGGACCTAAAATATGCCACCTGTGGAACTTCCTAGCAGCCAGGGCAAAAGAGAAAGCCCAGTTATACAGTTCTCATGATGACAGAAGGAAGTACAGGAGAGCAGTTTCTCCGAGGAAACTAAACTTCCTAGCCCTGGATCCTAGGAGGATTTCTCACTTTGTAGAAGAAACAAGTCTACCTATGTAGGGGGGCTTAGAACGCTGCCCTGGGACCCCTGGGATGCTCAACATATCTGTGTGAGTCTCATTTCCTCCCAATCCCAGGCTCCAGCCACTGACCCCGGGCGCAGAGCCCTGCCCCACTCCTCCCGAGACCCTGACTGTGAGTGAGGGCTTGACATCATCCACCTGTCCTGCGTGTTCCCTGCCTGGCCAGCAAAGCCACAGGTGTGTCTCTCGGTAATGAGTCCTTCTGAGGCCCTCCCTCTTTTGGAACTTGTCCAAGGACAGACACCGATAAGAGAGCCTGACACCTGGGAGGCAGTCACCAGAAAGAACCCTGCAGATGAGGTCGGCTCTGTCCTGGCCCGGCTGTCAGGAAGGCCGGTGGCCACAGCTCTGGAACCCTGGGGCTCTGTTTTCCCTTACCAGACCCACCCTAGGAGCAGGACCCTGGAGGCAGGGAGAACCAGGAAGACAAGGAGCCGGCGTCTTCCTCTGAAGCAGGTGCAATGTTCATTTCTTGAATTCAAAGGGAAGTCTGTCTGACACCCTCTTGGAACCTAGTGGAGGACCTCACAGAGGCAGGTGCACTGCTGATGACAAACTTTGTCAAACCGTAGCACCTTACCATGTGCCTTCACTAAAGCCCCAAACTCACCAGCTATTAAATATGCAGAGAAGGACACCTCCCAGGTGTCAGAGCAGGGAACTGAAACCAAGGGGGATGGCCATGAACCGAGACAAGACTCATTATCTCCTCAACAGTTTCAAATATGCAGGTTAAAACACCCAGGGGGACCGGGATTCCTTCTCTGCCATTAATTCACAAACCTGACTGCCATGTGATCTTAGCAAGAGATCATCAAAGCACATTTGCTGGGGCCCATCTGGTTGGGACTGTTACAACCAAAGCAAAAAAGGGCGACAAGCTCGGAGGCTGAGGGGCACAGACAGCTTACTGTGAACGATGGAGGCATGTGGGCCTCTGCCTCACTTCCTTTGTCACTTGCAGGCTCTTCTGTCTGCAGATAACAGCAAAAACTTGCAATGATAAACAAAACTGATCTCTGTGAACGAACACCCTCCAAACACAGAGACTATTAACACCCGGAATAATAGTACCAGCTGGCACCAAGCTCCCTGGCAGCCTGAGAGAGTGGGGGGGTGGGGGAGTGCAGTGATGGGGGAGCAAGGGAAGCTACACATGGCACCCAGCCACCCACGCCTTTCCCATGGAGAAGCAGAATCTGGAGAAGGCTGCTGCTGTGTTGATACGGACAAGGGTGGGAGGCGTTGAGAGCGAGCCCGTCCCACCATCTGTTCCTCCCAGGGCTTGACGGGGCAGTGGGGTCGGGGACCTTTACTTTGTAGTTCAGAGGGCTGAGGTGCTTGAAGCATCCAAAGCAGGTGTGAGCCAGGCAGACCAGGATGGTGAGCAGCAGCACCAGGAAGGTGAACAGAGTGGCAGGGGCCTTCATACCTGGGGACAGAGGGTGGCTAGCCTTGGGGTGGGCAGGGAGGGGCCACCACCTACCCTCACCCTGCTGAGGAAGGGGCCACACCTGGTGTGGAAACTGCCCGTGACTTATCCCTCAGGCAGGAAACAAAGGTAAGGCCTAACCCCCACCCCTAGCCCTCAACTCCAGCAGCAAGGATGGTGTCTTCGCAGCCAGGAGCACACAGAGGGACCCACTGAATGGCTGGCATCATCCCTGGTTGCATTTCAGGCACTGGGATGCCAAGTCAATGGCAATTCACCAGCCTCCTTGCTGGGTCCGTTCCCTCCAGTCTCCAGTGCCCTGGGCTAGGTAGGATGGACCGTCCCACACCCCCAGTCTGACCAGGGCAGACACAACTTTCCCCCAGGAGTGTCAGTTTTCTCTCCTCCATGTCCCCACCTCTTCCATGCCAGGAGATACAAGGAGCCGGGTCCAACCACCACCCTCAAAGGGCAATCTGGATCAGCTTCCCCATTTCCTCTGGTTCAGTCCCTGCACAGCTGATAACGGCACTGTCTTCTCTCCAGGGACGTATGGGACAATTGACCAGGCCTTCACAAGGGTTACACCTGCACTCGGGCTAGCTTAGGAGCTCAGCTGTCACCACCACACCCAACCAGCCCTCACTCTGGGTATCCTGTTTTGATAGGACACCTAACCAGTCCTCACTCTGGGCACACATTCTGATTGGACATGTAACCGACCCTCATTCTGGGTATCACATTCTGATTGGACACCTAACCAGCCCTCACTCTGGGCACCACATTCTGACTGGATGCCAAGCTGATGCTGTGAAAGCAATGGGGGATCTGACTGGCTGGTGGGGATGCAGGGATGGGAGGCCAAGGGCTGGCCCCAGGTTGGAAGGGCCACTCACCCAGGCGCAGGAAGGAAAAGAAGTAGAGCCAGAAGAGGCATAGGATGGGGGCTGCCAAGGCCTGGTTCACAGCAGCAAAGTGTATCCCCTTCTCCAGCTTGGCTGGGAGGTAGACGAAGTAGAGGTTGTGCCGGTCCACCATGTGCTTGAGCAGGATGTAGATGAGGCCTGCAGGGGATGGGGCTGTGAGCTGGAGACCTTGCAGGGCCACACAGACACCTCTGCCCTCTTCCTCTCAGGGGCGGCTGTTTTGGCAAGGAGCCAGGACTGGGGCTGCTGCTCTACTGCTTGAACACAAAATGAGGCATCCTGCACCTCTGGCTGCTAGTTTTGTTTCTCTTTCTCTCTCCTGCCCGCTTCCTCACTTCTCTGTGACCCCAAGGTGTAGGGGATCGGTCAGGGTGGTAGGAGAAAATTTAAGATAAAGTTATAGAAAATAGACACAAACCTTGGAAGGCCGAGAGGTTTGCATAACTTCAGTAAAGGGTTTGGCTGAAGGCAGCTGAATTCTCTCAAAAGCTTAGGGCATAGATACATAGGAATGTGGGGGAGTTTACCCAAATAGCTTGTTTACTCATGTGGTCCTGAGACCAACCTTTGATCATCCACAGGTGCAGACTCAGGCAGCAGAGCCCCTTAGCCGCACTGACAGGCAAAATATCTGTCAGTGTATGTCTTTCATTCGTCGCTGGATCAGGGTCTGTGGGACGGACCCCACACCAAGGGAGTCACAGTGTCTGTGATCCTGTCCCCACAGAACACTAACATTCCAGAATCATCTTGGAAAGAGGCTGTTTCACACTTGGATGTCTGGCCTCAATTCCTCCCCAGCCCTTCCCATGCTGAGCCCCCGTATGTCAGTGCTCCCACACCCCTGGCCTTCTCCCACCCAGCTGATCCCCGCCCTCATCAGTCAACAGAGAATGAGGCCCAAGGATCTTACCCCAGGGTTGGCACAGGATCGCACATGGGGGACCAACAGAAAGTGGGTGCTGCCTTTTCTATTATGCCAGGTTCTTTTTGAGACGGAGTCTCGCTCTTGTTGCTCAGGCTGGAGTGCAGTGGTGCAATCTTGGCTCACTGCAACCTCTGCCTCCTGGATTCAAGTGATTCTCCTGCCTCAGCCTCCCGAGTAGCTGGGATTATAGGCGCCTGCCACCATGCCCGGTTAATTTTTATATTTTTAGTAGAGACAGGGTTTCACCATGTTGGCCAGGTTGTTCTCGAACTCTTGACCTCAGATGATCCACTGCTTAGGCCTCCCAAAGTGCTGGGATTACAGGAGTGAGCCATCGTGCCTGGTCCCAGGTTCTTTTTTAAAAAATAAATTTTGTTTTGAAAGTGTAAATACTGTAAATTTTTAAAACTACACAAGAGAGTATACAGTGAAAACTAAAACAACTTCTCCCCCTAAACCTCAGCTATCGCTGCCAGCAGTCTCTTGGGTCTTCTGTTTCCTTCTAGAGCCTTTCATTCATCTGCCAGCTCAAAAGGATTTTTTTTTTTTTTTATTTCAGTGGCCAGGACCTTGGTCTTTAAACAGTCCCGAGTTCAAATCCTGGTTCTCCTGCTTACTAACAACATATGAAGTTCTTTATCTGTGAAGGGGGAATAGAAACAAGACCTGCCTTGTAGGATAGGGTGTGGGAGCATGCCATACGGGGCTCTGCATGGGAAGGGCTGGGGAGGAATTGAGGCCAGACATCCAAGTGTGAAACAGCCTCTTTCCAAGACGATTCTGGAGGCAGGCATCTGCCGGAGTGAAAGCAGCACAAGAGCTTTGATTGTGACTGTTTTACTTGCTGCTAAAGAAATCAACCATGAACGACGTGGTCACTGGGCAGAGAACCTCAGACCAGAAGTACTGAGAGAGGTCCTAGCTGAGGGCCAGTGGGAGGAATTCATTTAAAAATGAATGAGGCCAGGCACAGTGGCTCATATCTGTAATCCCGGCACTTTGGGAGGCTGAGGCGGGTGGATCACCTGAAGTCAGGAGTTCAAGATCAGCCTGGCCAACATGGTGAAACCCCGTGTCTGCCAAAAATACAAAAAATTAGGCAGGCATGGTGGTGGGCACCTGTAATCCCAGCTACTCAGGAGGCTGAGGTGGGAGGATGGCTTGAGCCCAGGAGGTGGGGGTTGCAGTGAGCCAAGATCATGCCACTCCAGCCTGGGCATCAGCATGAGACCCTGTCTCAAAACAAAAAAAGAAAGAAATGAGTGAAATTTGGTGTCACGTGGGTCTTTGGCAGCTTGTGGCTCTTGTGGCTGTGGTTTTGGGAACTCCAACCTGGGCACAATTGTTAGCTGTCCCCGAGAGGCTTGGTGCAATCAGCCGTCCACGTACCCTGGGAGAGGCTCCAGGGTCACTCACCAAATGGCGCAACGATGGGACAGGTGATGCTGTAGGCCATGATGACAGTGAAGACACACAGCATCCACGCATACATGGCTCCAAACTCGTACTGGAAGGCCTGGTTCTGGGAGAAGGAGGTGGTGAGGAGCTCATGGACTTGTTCCACCTCAAACACCCTTTTGTGCTCTCCAAGTGGTGAGGGGAGAGCGGGGTAGAGGACTTTGGAAATAGGAGATGCGTGGCTCCCCGCCTCCCAAGGTCCTTCCCATCCCTCCCAGCCTGCCCTGCTTCACTGAGCGCACCCAGCCCTCCTGAGGCATGGTGATGCATGTTTGCTAGTGCTCCCTTCGTTCCAATCCTGTCCACCCAACAGGCGTGTGAGCCCCTGGAGAGAAGAGGTGGTCGGGGAAGAGGTGTAGAGTGACTCCTCGTGACTCCAGCCCTTCTAGCAGGGGATCCTGGGCCAGCTTAGTTCGTGCCTTTGTGAAATCGGGATACTAGCAGTGCCCGGCTCATAAGGGGCTGAGAATGAAATGAAGGAATGCAGCACTTCTCCCACTTTCCTCGCGCAGTGTCCACCATGGCAGAGGAGAAGAAAAGAGAATCCCACACCCTCCGGTTCAGGGAATCCTGGAGTAAATGCCATAAGCCAAAAATGCCTTTGACATCTGGGGTTTGGCTAAGAATTTATGCAAATGGGCACCCATGGAAAAAGAGTCTGTTGGTTTGAGTTGTATGTATGTATGTGTGTGATCAAACTGTTTCAAATGCCAGAGTCCCAAACTCTCTCCTCCAGCCTGTGAGCTAGAGAGGAGGCTGGAGGAGACCACGCCTGCCTGGGCCCGGGTTTGAGAAGCACTTAGCCCAGTGCCTGCATTAGTGGGTAGTCGGGTAAATGCTACCCATTAGCAGGGGTAGTGGGGGTGAGAGGCCCTCGGGTCAGTGAAGGGGGACATGGGAGGGAGTCAGAGGCACAGCCCTGGGCCCAGGGGATGGCACCTGCTTGACATTCCTGCGGTCGGCAGCCGTCTTGGCCATGATCATGCGGAAGGTGTAGAGGATGAGGCCTGGCAGCCGCAGCAGCTCCATGCCATTGCCGATGAAGGCCGAGGCGATGACGTAGTTCACAAAGAAGGCGCCCTGGTCAGGCAGGAAGACACACCTGGGGAAACCGGGGCCCAGGTCTGTGAGCTGAGAGCCGCTCTTGGAGGGGGAGGAGGGGCTCCTAGGCTGGGCAGGAGCAGAAAGCCCCTGGGAGGGCTGTATAGTCTTCCGTTCATTCAGCACATATTTGGAGAACACATCTGTGTGCCAAGTACCTTTCCAGACATTGAGAACAGAACAAAGCCCCTGCCCCCACTCTCTTGAAATTCACATTCTAGCTGGGGGCACAAAGAAGCAAACAAACAAATATTCCATATGCCGGGGGTGGTGAGTCCTAGAGGAAAATAAAGCAGGGAGGGTTCCTATGTTATACAAGGGTTGGAGGAGCCTTTCTAACAAGGTGATACTCGTGCAGAGATGTGAAGAAGTGAAGGAGCAAGTCATCCCAAAACCTGGGAAGACAGGATTCCAGGGAAAGGGAACAACATATAAGACGCCTGAGGATTCCCTCGTCTGCTGCACATCCAGGAAGAACAAAAGGGCAGGTGGGGCTGGACAGCAGTGGGCTGGGGGAAGGCAGAAGACAAGGCTGAAAGGGGCTGGGGGCAGACCCAGGGCAAGGGATCTGTTCCAATGGGGTCAGGAAGACTACGCAGATGGCCGCTGTGTGATCCCCATGTGGGGCGAGGGCAGTTGTGATGGAGGTGGTGAGATATGGAGGGATTCTGGATCTACTTTAGAGAGAGAGCTGTCAGGATTTGCTGATAGGCTGGGTATGGCATGGGAGGGATAGAAAGGAAACAAGGTGAACTTTGAGGTTTTTTGCCAAAACAGTTAGAAAAACAATATGGAATGGGGAAAGTTACAGAGTAGCAGATTTGAGGGTAAAAGTCAGGAGTCTGGTTTTGGGCAGGTAACATCCGTGGTACCCAGTAAAACTCCAGCTGGAATTTGAGGTGGGCAGTTGGGTTATCAGCCTGGAGGTGCAGGCTAGAGGCATAAATGTGGATGTTGTCCGCATAAGTTAATTCAGGAGCAGTCTCATGGCATGGAAGCCATGGGTTCAGCTGAAGTCACCTAGAGAGGCAGTGTGGACCCAGAACTGGGGGCTGAGCCTTCAGGCAGCCAAAATCTAGAGTTGGGGAGATGGGAAAGAACCCACCAAGGAGGGTGACAAGAGGATGCCGCCGGATGAGACAGCCAAGGCAGAGCTTCGAGAAGGAAGGCTTGGATAAATGTGTCAGATGTCGCTGATAGATCATAAGATGAGAATTGAGTTGGTCACTGGATTTGTCAATCTGAAAGTCACTGTCAACCTAGACTATTGCTGGTTGTATGTATGTGTGTCTGTCATAGCCGCCAGCTCCCAACTCATCAGCTTACTCAGCAAGAACTCATTTAAAATAACTCACCCCATCCTTACAGGTAAGCACATTCTTTTAGGAAAGTCAATGCCAAGCCTCTGGGCCTATATTAAGACCTAACGTATAGTCTGTAGGGGCTGGGGTTGAATCCCAGCTCTGTTCCTTAACTGGCTGGGTAGACTTGGGCAAGTTATTCAACATCCCCGAACCTCAGTCTCCTCATCTGTAAAATGGAGAGAATAATAGTATCTTCCTCATAGCTCATTGTAAAGATTCAGTGAGAAAAAGATGCATAAAGCATTTAGCGTAGTGCCTTCTTAAACAATAGCTATTACTGTTAAGTGGCATGGTGTAAGTTTAAAATACTAACAAGGATACATCGGCAGTAAGTTTAATTCTATTCTGGCAAAAATAATCCCCAGAGCCCAGAGGCATCCCGGTTGCCATGTTTAATTATTATTCTCCTTTCCCCACTCCCTGGCACCACTGAGACCCAGCAATTCCTTCTCCCCATGTGGCTCTGTGCTCAGTAAGTTTCAAAGAATGAATGAGACAGCTGCTAATTGAGTTCTGGCCTAAAAAATTAACCACATTTCTGCAAGCATAGCACAAAGTGGGTCAGCTCCCACGGTGTCTACCAGGAACCTGGCAGGGTGGAGGTGAGGCCCCAAGCCCTGCTGTCTGGGGAGAAAGATGCCTGTTCGGAAGCATAGGCTACGAGCACCCCTACCCACCCCACTGCAGCCCTAGCCCCTGTGGGACTCTCACCCAGAGCCATGGCTCCAAAACTCAACTTGGCAATACTCACTCCAACCTGATGGAAGCCTTCGAGGAAGTTTTGTCAAAGAGCCACCGGAAGAAAAAGTCTAGACTGGAAAACAAAGGAACCCCCTAAGAGTTTATTTCCAGCATTCCATATTGTCACTACATATGCTTTCATTTTCTTTTGCTCTAAAAACAGGCCAAAGCTCGAGATCGACTTTTGTTCTCAACGATGCATTACTGCAGCATGACCTGTCACAGTCTGCTTTACCAGAAACTTCCTTCTTTGAGATAAACAAAGCCATAATGAGGCCCTCCCTAAGTGGAAGGTCCTTGGTAAGTTTCATTTTCTTTATTCTTTTGTAGAGATGGGGTTTCGCCATATTGCCCAGGCTGGAACTCCTGGACTCAAGCGATCTGCCCACCTCGGCCTCCTAAAATGCTAGGATTACAGGCATAAGCCACCGTGCCTGGCCACAAAATTTTCAAGCTGTTTTTTCTTTTCTTTTCTTTCTTTTTTGTTTTTTGGGTTTTTTTAGACACAGTCTCACGCCTGTAAGCCCAGCACTTTGGGAGGCCAACGCGGGTGGATCACCTGAGTCAGGAGCTCGAGACCAGCCTGACCAATATGGTGTTATTTTCTTTTTTAAAGAAGAACAATCATATTGCCAGAAGAATCAATGACCCAGCCCTACTACACGCCAAGAGGTTGCGACACACTTAGATATTGTTAGAGGTTTGCTTCTGCTACCAAACCATTTGCATTCTCCTGGGGACAGTGCTCTCCTGATGTGACTCTTATTCTGAATTTACAGCAGGAGGTGGTGGCATATACCTGGTGAGACCCAGGGAGGGCAGGATCAGCACCATGAAGATCAAGAATATGTAGACTTTGGTCATCACGATCTGGTTTTCCCCTGACCTGCAGGAAGTCAAAGGTGAGTACTCACAGTCCCCCAGATGCTCCAGGTGCCCACAGTGAGGCCCCTGCCATGTGTCCATTGGCTGAGCAGTTGGGGGACAGGGTGTGGACAAGGGAGCGGTCAGACAAATACATCTTAGGGGCAGGGCCTCAGGACTCCCGGGTACTCACTTGGTCCAGTGAGACTCCAGCAGTGTAGAGTAGTAGACAATGGAGGGGAGCAGAGCCGAGAAGGACCAGAGCAGGAGGGTGGGGAAGAACTGGCTGATGATCGGGTTCTAGGAGAAAGGTCCACAGCAGAGAGAGTCACAGGGGCCGTGGGCCACACGGCTCTGAGGCCATGACCTATTGGCACAGTCGCTCAGTGGACTCCTGGGGTAGGAGTTTGTCATCTCTGACCCCCAGAACCAACACTGTGCCAGGTACAGAGCTGGTAGTCCATAAATGTTGGCTGAATAATCAGTAACAGCACCTTATATTTGTATACCGCCTCACAGCACAGCAAAGAAAGCAATTTCACATACAAGTAAACGCCACTTATCTGACTAAACAGATTAAATAACCTTCTCTGCTCCCTATACAAAACAAATGACTGATGCCACGGGAAGACTGAACACTGAAGGCCTGGAGTCCTGGCTGGGGGCGTGGGGTGGGCAGGGGATGCCCTGCCTGCTCAGCTCCCACTGGTCCAGCTGCAGCATATCAGGACTCTACTGTGTGTGTCCACAATCCTGCTGTTTGTTACTGTGATTACATGAGCTGATTGACTTATTACTGTCACTTATTAGATGAACATAAAAATAGAGAGAAATTTTCTTTGAAAACTAAGTTGGATACTTTGGAAAGACTTGATAAAAGTCAATTTCTAAAAAAAAAAAAAAACGCTGTTAATTAGATGAGAGTAAATTAACGGTAAAAGATCAAGGGATATGCGATCTAGGAAGTTTCTATATTCAGAATGGCTCTGCAAATATCTAAATTCTTCATTTACTTTAAAGAAGGCAACACTGGAATCACAAAACAATGAAATAAGGAGTGGTTGATGTAAAATAGACAAAGGGGAGCTCTTAACAGCAGATCCATCCTCAAAAGAATAGGCCTGTCCCTCTATTAAAAGATTGGCAAAGGAATGCATGTTTATAATACCTGCTTGAAATCTTAAACAAAACTGCTGAATTTACACTTAGGTAGTTTTAAACTATTTATGGAGTCAGATAAGAGCTTCAACCACACATCAGCTCATTGATTATCATGACGACAGCCTCGCGTCCTGTATAATAGGGCAGGTGTTTTAACTCCAGTCCTTGGATGAAAAACTGAGGTTCAGAATTCATCAGATGGGGAGAATGGCAAAGTGAGGACAAGGAGGCCCTCCTGCCCAGTATTCTTTCCCAGAGAATAAGTAACCAAATGCAAAGTGAAATTTAAAAAGAAAAAAATTTAGGGAGATGGCTTGGCAAAGTTAATCATGAGAAACCAATAGCTTTTTGAGTAAATGCCAGTTGAGTGTTTGGCTGTTATCCCATTGACTCATGTAAGATTTTTGAAAATCATTCATTACCTATACAGTATAAATAGTTTTTGTTGTTTTTTTTTGTTGTTGTTGTTGTTGTTTTCTTTAGATGGAGTTTCACTCTTGTTGCCCAGGCTGGGGTGCAGTGGTGTAATCTCGGCTCACTGCAACCTCCACCTCCCGGTTCAAGCAATTCTCCTGAGTATCTGGGAGATACTCAGCCTCCTGAGTATCTGGGATTACAGGCGCCCACCAACACACCTGGCTAATTTTTGTATTTTTTAGTAGAGATGGGGTTTTGCCATGTTGGCCAGGCTAGTCTTGAACTCCTGACCTCAGGTGATCCGCCTGCCTTCGCTTCCCAAAGTGCTGGGATTACAGGCGTGAGCTACCGTGCCTGGCCCCAGAATAGTTTTATAACAAGGTCATTAGCAACTAAAATGTAAAAGAAATAATTTGTGATCCTGCCACCTCCAATCAGCGAAGCTCTTTTCCTTCCTTCCTGGCCACTCCCCATAGTGTCCATGATAGACATGCCTCACTGGTACATCCCTGCTTCTGTCAGGAGCCCTGCATGGGTGCCACAAAATCTACACAATTTTTAATGGATGCTTAATTTCTACCAAACTGAATAGACCTCATTCAACTCAAATGGTCCCCACCACTGAGTATTTAGATACAGTCTATTAAAATATATATGTATGCGTGTGTGTGTGTGTATATATATACATATAATGTGTGTGTGTGTGTGTATGGCATTACTATAAAGACATTGAAATAAACGTGGCCATGCCTGCTCAGGGCTTAAAAGCAAGGATGTGAGCTGAGCGACATGACCCCCTGGTTTAGTTTCCCGCATACACCCCACTCTTGTCCCCATTCCTTCCCCACCCACTAAGCCCTCTTCTCACCAGCTCTCCTGGGAGGGGCCTTGCAGAACAGTTACTCACATTCAGCGCATGGATGGGTTTGGTGACATTAAACTTGTCCATGGTGGACAGGATGATGGAGGGTGTGGTCAGGAAAAACAGCCCCAGGAAGAGGGTGAAGTTGATGCCCAGCCACTGTAGCCACCAGCGGAGGCCCTGGATAGAGAGGTTCTTCCTACAGGGGGGAGAGGGGACACAGGTCTCCAGGCTTGTCTCCCAGTGCTCGTGGCTTAGGTGGGTCAGGTGGTCAGATTTAGGCAGACCAAGAGACTAGCCTGGGGGCAAGTTCTCCACACTGACCTCGAACTACAGAAAGGCCAAGTCTTAGGTCCCCGAGAGCTCAGAGGGAACAAAGGTTATTCTCTCAGATGTGGCTCTCAGCTAGAGTGTGGGGGCCAGAACCTACCCAAAGAGATGGCATGAGCACCGAAGCAGGCCAAACAAGGCCTTCTTTTCCTTTTTTTTTTCTGGAGACAGAGTCTCGCTCAGTCATCCAGGCTAGAATGCAGTGGTGTGATCTCGGCTCACTGCAACCTCTGCCTCCCAGGTTCAAGCAATTCTCCTGCTCAGTCTCCCATGTAGCTGGGACTACAGGCATGTACCACCACACCCAGGTAATTTTTTTGTATTTTTAGTAAAGACAGGGTTTCACCATGTGACCCAGAGTGGTCTTGAACTCCTGAGCTCAGGCAGTCCGCCCACCTCAGCCTCTCAAAGTGCTAGGATTACAGGTGTGAGCCACCATGCCCAGCCCCAGCATGGCATTTCTTAGACACATCTGCAATGCTTTGTGACTAATGACACATTCTTCCCAAGGGGGCTATGGCTGGGGTGCAGGGACGAGGGAGGCAGGGACAAAGGAACAAAGGCATAGCTTGCACCTGCCCTGGCCTCTCATCCCAAAGAACAGACCCACAAAGCAATCCTGAGTTTAGGAAGCCCTGTGAACCAAAGAGCAAAACTGTTGAAGGCAGAACTAGAACCGAGCAGAGAGGAGCAACTCAAGCTCATTCTGTGCAAGGAGCTGAGGCAGAGCTGGACAGGCAGCTGCGCTGGGACTTGCGCTGGGTTCCCTTACCCTCAGCACAGCACTGGAGGCTCACCATGGCCCCCATGGACACAGCTCAGCTCACCAGCACAGCTCCAGGCTGACACTGGACCTAAGTAAGACTGCACAAGCTGCATGTGGCTACTGAGCATTTGAAATGTGGCTGGTATGAATTGAGAGGTGCTAGAAGTGTAAAATACACACCAGATTTTGAAGACTAAGTGTGAAAAAGAGAATGTAAAACATCTCACATTTTTCAAAAATTGATTGCATGTTGAAATAACAGTTTGAATATATTGGGTGAGATAAATTATTAAAATTAATTTCAACTGTTTCTTTTTACCTTTTTAGCATGGCTATTAGGAAATTTAAAATTACATTTAAAATTACATTCAGAGCTGGCATTATATTTCTGCTGGGTAGCACTTGAATGCTAGGAAGGAACACTGGAGGGAAGGGCTGGGCAGATACCCCAGTTGGGCCACACTGAGCACATCACAGCATCATGGCCCAGAGAGTTGCAGATGTGTGGAGATCTCCATTGACTGCTAGGTCACACCTGTGCTCCAGGTGATGGGCAGCTCCCACCAGGAACCCAGGCCTCTTTCCCACCTCTCCCTGTTCTAGGAGCTCACCAGCAGATGTCCTCAGGGTCAGCGGCAAAGGTGACTGTCCACTTGGAGGTACAGAGCTCTCTGCTATGGGAGGACGGCTGGGGCTCACCTTTGCACTGAAGGCTCTGACACTTGCAGGCATTGAAATCTTTCAGGATGCTGCAAGGAAATGTAGAAACAGCCAGGCCCAGGCTACTCAGGTTACCGTGGCAAGTGAGGACTGAGTAGGAGTGGCAAGCAGTGACACACAGGACCTTTCCTTTGTTGTGATTAGTGTATTATGAGTAATGCTATGTAAGAGGCACCATGCTAGCACACTGTGTGGAGAATTTTGTTTAATCCTCGCAACCACCAGCAAGAAAGGGAGTATTATTCCCATTTTACAGATAAGGAAACTGAGGGCAACACATCCCAACACACTGCTCTTCCATAGGGCCATCCCCCTCCACCCTGCCTGTTAAGCTGGAGCTCTGATCAATGCTACTGCCAAGCCAGTGGCTCACCTTTTCATTCTGTCACTTTTTCCCCAGGCCCAAGGGTAGCAATAGACCGCGTTATACACTGCCTATTCCCAAGCTTCCCTCCTCAAGGCTCCCACCTCAACCCTCACCATCTCAACAGGTCACAGCTTTTCCTCCTTTAACTTCCCATAAGGAGCCCAGCAGCCCCTCTACTCCTGCCTCAGATGCCTTCCCCTTTCCTCCTGCCCTAGTGTCTGCAGGGAGGCAGGAAGTCCTGTGTGAGTCCATTCCCAGTGTCACAATGCCCGGGGCAGAGAAGGCAGGGGGAGGGGCAGTGGCTGGACACCTCCTTTCGGCACCCCTCTTCCAACCCACCCCCTGCTGCTCCTAAGGCGAGATGACACTGAGACCACAGGCATGAGAGCCTAGAGTCCCATGCAAAGGGCCACTGTGAAAAGCCACTCCCCAGGGTCGAGCTTCCGACAGCAGTGAGCGCCCCAGCGTGCCCCAGGGGTCTTCCCCACAGCTTTGCGTTTGTGGGAAGGTGGGGAGCCACAGACAGAAGGATCTGTGGTCCAGAGCAGATGTCTGAAAGGAGGGTGCCTCCATCTCCCGTCGGGGAAGGCTGGCACATGAAGCCAACAGGATGGGTCCAGGGCAGCAGGGAAGAGGCTGGCAGTGGGGCCAAGCCACATCAGCTTAAGGGGGTTGGCCAGAATCACCCACTCCATGGCTGCTGCCCACACCCCCACCACCTGTCACACAAACATGGGCTGGGCTGGCCGAAAGTGAGTGTGGGTGGCTGAGGGAGGAGAAGGAAACACCACAGATAAATCCCAGGGATGGTGGGTCAGCAGTACCATCTCTGCCCAAGAGGGACAGTCAGTTATCTGCAGGGGAACAGGGAGTCATCCAAGAAGGGGTCTGGGATGTGCCCACACTCACTAGGTGGCCATGGACTTCTCCTGGAAGGTGACAAAGGCCATTCCCAGGGGCTGGTCCTGGACGTGGCATTCTTCCTCTGTGATCCTCTCCAGCAGCCTGTCCTTCATCCGCGTATAGTAAGGGATGGCGTCTTCCTGCCAGAAGACACATCCCATTGGGAGGATGTGGCCCCAAGCAGGTGTCTGGGGCACCCCCAAGCCAATGCCTGCACTTCCAGCCGGGGAGCGGGGCCCTTACCCACTCACAGCCCAGCACTTCGCAGCAGCAAAACTGGCCACAGGGCTTGGGGTTGATGAGGGTCCGCTGGCCTGTCTTCACCTGCAGGTTCGTGTAATAGGTCAGGCTCTTCTCAGTCTTCTTTCTGTAGGGGTGGGAGCAGGGGCACAAACTTTAGATTCAGAATCCTGTGGCAGAGACCCCCACACCCACAGTTCAACCATCGGTTGCTAGGGGAGAAGGAGGAGTCCAGGGCTTCCCTCCTCCCCTCTTAGCTGCAAGGCCAGCAAGGAAGGAGTGGGCATCTCGCAAAGCCCGCCCGCCACTCACCTCTCCTTGCACAGGTAGATCAGTTTGGCCACGTTGTAGCACAGCTGGACATCAACCACCTCACACGTGGGGTACGCATCCCTGTGGCCAGGGAGAGAAGGAGGCAAAAGATGCCATTGGATAAGAAGACACCCTAAGCAGGAGACATGCCCACGAATCCAAGGGAAAGGATGGCAGAGTGATCTCGCTGCTGGTTTCTGTGCCAGCAGAGACCTCTCTTCTGTCTTTTATCCTCCAAAAGGGGGAAATTTTGAAATTTAATACAAAGAGGGCTTTTGTTTTGTTTTGTTTAGAGACAGGGTCTCACTCTGTCACCCAGGCTGCAGTACAGTGGCACAATCAAGGCTCACTGAAGCCTCAACCTTCTGGGCTCAATCAGTCGCCCCACCTCAGCCTCCCGAGTAGCTGGGACTACAGGCACATGCCACCAGGCTGATTTTTTTTTTTTTTTTTTTTTTTTTTTTTTAGAGACGGGGTCTCGCTGTGTTGCCCAGGCTGATTTCGAACTCCTGGCCTCAAGCACTCCTCCTGTCTCACCCTCCCAAAGTGCTGGGATTATAAGCATGAGTCACCGCACCCCACTAGCCTTTTTTAGTAGTTTAAGCTAACTGCCTGGAACTGACAAGTTTATACCCACTTGGCTTGCAATCAGCTGGCACTTATCCCGGGGAAAAATGAACATATCACTATCCCCTCTGAAGACCCAAAGGAATAGATTTATTGTTTGTGCTAGGTCAGTATCTACCTTGAGCCCTCACTGAAATCCTATTCAGGTAGGCTTTTTTAAGGTCAAGACCTTTCAGAAAGTCTAATGAAAGCAAAGGACCTTCAGTAAAATGTCTACACACATATTAACAACCAGCAAGGCCGGGTGCAGTGGCTCATGCCTGTAATCCCAGCACTTTGGGAGGCTGAGACGGGTGGATCACTTGAGGTCAGGAGTTTGAGACCAGTCTGGCCAATGTGGTGAAACCCCACCTCTACTAAAAATACAAAAATTAGCCAGGTGTGGTGGCGCACACCTGTAATCCAGCTACTCGGGAGGCTGGGGCACGAGAATTGCTTGAACCTGGGAGGCGGAGGTTGCAGTGAGCAAGACTGCCCCACTCCAGCCTGGGCAACAGAGTGAGACTCTGTCTCAAAAAAAAAAAAAAAAGAAAAAAGAACCAGCAAAATACGTACTCACTATTGACCACGTATTGTTACATATATTGATTTATATAATCCTCATTATAACCTGTGAGGTTTTGTCCCCATTTTACAGATGAGTAAACTGAGGCCCACAGAGGTAAGTGGCTTGCACCCAAGATCACACAGCTAGTAAGTGTCTGAGCCAGGAGGTGAATATAGGCAACCTGGCTCCAAGATCAATGCTCGTGGCCACCATGCAATACCCCCTCACCGTACACGCAAAATTATACATACAATTCCAGGGGATTCCAGAACCATGTAAATCCGTACCTACCACCTGCCAGGCACTGTTCTAGGTGCTGGTAACAGGGCCTGGATGTGCTTACATTTTAGTGACAGAGAGCGCCCATAGGTATGTCAATCATGAAATTAAACAGTAGGACAATTTCTGGTCTCAATAACAGCTGTGAGGAAGAAAACTGCAATTTAAGCATCCCTGCTTGAAAGGCAAATTCACACATCAATCCCCACGGATTGCAACAGCATTCACTAAAAAGGCCTCCTAAAATAGAGGAAAGCGTGAGTCATGCAATGTTTGTATGAGAATGAGGAGACTTTTTTTTTCTCTTCAAAGTTATACATTAAGTGGAATTACTGTTTCCAGGTGTTGCCTAGCAGGCAACTTTGAGGAGTTGCTTCAAAGAAATGGAGAAAAATGATTCTGGTATGGAGTATTTACATATTAGTAAATATTTCTAAAATACTTAGTTTCTAAAGAAGTTGTTCTAATTTTACACATTCAATTTACAATTCTGTCTAGTAATTTCCTTAGCAAGTGCTTTCTTCATAAATAGCGCAAAGTTAAAGTGTAGCCAGCTCCTAGTCCATGCAACAAATTAGTGGCTGCTGAATTGATAAGGAATGAAGAGAGGCCGGACATGGTGACTCACGCCTGTAATCCCAGCACTTTGGGAGGGCAAGGCAGGAGAATCACTTGAGCCCTGCAATTCGAGACCAGCCTGGGCAACATAGCAAGACTCTATCTCCACTAAAAATGTAAAAATTAGCTGCGTGTGGTGGCATGTGTCTGCAGTCCCAACTACTTGGGAGGCTGAGGCAGGAAGATCCCTTGAGTCCAGGATTTGAGGCTGCAATGAGCTATGACTGCACTACTGCATTCTAGCCTGGGCAACAGAGCACGACCCTGTCTCTAAAAAAATAAGATAATAAAAAAAGGAATGAAGAAAGAATAAAATGTCAGCTCCTAAGCCCAGCCTTCAGGTCCTCCAGCATGGGGTCCTGGGAGCCTTCCCGGCCTGCTTACCCTGCCCCCGCACCCCACCTCCACCTTTCCTGATGCTCTGGGCCTTCCCCCGCATCCCTGGCTGCACACGTAATCTCCTCACAGGAAAGCCTTTCCTCCAGCCTCCATCTGCAGGAATTGGTGCTGCAGATCCTCAAAGGGAGCCGCTGGAAAGGTGGTTCTACCAGGGAGAGCCTGGACTCAGACACAGTGCTCACTCAACAGACACCCACTGCGTGGGTGGACAAACCAGCAAACGCAGAGATGGCCCTGAGGTCCTTCCACCTGTGAGACCCTAGCCCTGTGGGTCTGTACAAATGCTCAGCTCACGTCTCTTATTCTGCAAAGGTGATGCTAAGAACCCCGGGGTGAACACTTTTTGTTCCCCCGTATGCTCTCAAGACGTTTATTTGCACCTACATCCTGGTCTGTGCTCTGGACACTGTGCACAGGCTGCTTGAAGAGGATAGGCCACCACGGCGCCATTCATTGCACAGCACCAGCAGGGCTGGCACACTGGAGCCACTCCATACACTGTGGCAGGGCCAGGTCCTTCTCAGATCTCATCTGGATACCCAAGCGAGAGACAGCAGGCGCTCACCTAAGGCGCTTGCCCTGTGGGTGGGGCTGTGCTGGTCCTACGTGGAGGGGGCTCAGCTCTCCTCCCACCCCGCCTGCTTACCGGAAGTGGCTCTCCACAGTCTCCTTCCTGGCATCTCTGGGGAGTCCTGTGATGAACAGGGTCCGCCTCACCTGTCCAGGAAACACAGTAGGGATAGAAGTCACTCACAAGCCAGTGTGCAGGTATGCTCAGGTTTCCTACCCCACTCCAGCCTCTGGAAAGTAAACAACAGGAAATTAGAAGGCTCCAGTTTTCTCCTTCTGTGGCCAGGGGAGCCCCAAAGCATGTCATTACACATCATCTTCTTCCAGGCTCTACAAAGAATCCACTTCCAAAGCAACTCTATGAGCCTTCTTTACATAGCAGGAGACTGAGAAAGAGGCGAAGTGACTCAAATGCGGTCACACAGCAGATCAGAGGAGGACCCAGGCCTGGAACCAAGCCACAGAAGCGCCCCTCCCCTGTGAAGCTGTGGGTGGTAAAGAGAAAGGGCTGCTCTCAACCCAAACTTCTTTACTTAGCACCAGTAACTGTCCAAATCTTGAAACAATCCACCAGGAAATTGTTTTTTTTAAGATGATGCCAAGTGTGAGCAAGAATAAGCAAGCCCGGCTCCTGAGGCCTTCCCAGAGCTCATTGTGGTCAGGGCCTGCAGCAGAGCCTAGGAGGCCCCTCCACTCCAGCTCCCACCTGAGTTCCTCCCAGCACATGTCCCCAAGCCCCACCTCACTCACCAGGTTCTCCTCTTTGTACTTAATGGACTGAGTGTGGTGCCGCATGAAGCCCACGGTGAGGAAGAGGTAAATGACAGCAAAGATGGTATGCAGCCAAATGAGGTCATTGCTGAGGGGGAAACCGCCTGCCATCAGAGCTGGGATCCCAGGCAGGGAGCTGGGGGTGCAGAGCTGGGGCCTGGTTACCCTCAGTGGGCACTGAACTGAGGACCAACAGCTTCATTGCAAGAGATGCCTCCCACAGAGGCTGTGTGGCCAATGCCCCTCAGCCCACAGTGAACACTTCAGAGGGGTCCCTGTTCCTGTTCTGACAAATGAACTCCAGATCCACAGGACCCTCCATGTTTCTTAAAACCCTGGCAAAACAGTGCCTGCCTGTAGCGTGTTCATGCCCACAGCTCAACAACACACTAGCTGCAAGGGGCCTTCAGAACCAGCCGGCTCCCTTTGGAGTACCTTTGGCCTGCCCCGGGCTCCTGACCTGCCTTCTCCTTGGTCTCACCCATCGACACCTGTCCCCACAGGCTCCATACTCACTCAGTCTGCAGGTTTGCTATTGTCGTCCTCCCAAAACTGTATGGGTCTTTGTCTGCAGAGAAGCACAGATACTTAGTTCCAGAGTCATGTGGGGAAGCAGAAGGGGGTGTAACCAATCAGCCTGGGTTTGTGGAGCTCTGGGGAGGAGGAGCATGTCTGGACCAGCAGGCAGAGAACGCCTGACTGGTCTTTCCAGAGCTACACCATCAAGGCCTCTGCTTGACACCAACATGTTCCCTGATAACTTCTCAACCTTCCATTGCAGGTAAAGGCAAAATGTGAATTCATTTCGTTTTGAGAAAACTACAAACATCCTACGTTGTTACAAAATCAACCTTGGGAACCACTGGGTATCCTAAGTGGATTCATGGTAGCATTTTGTAAGGTGGATTCTTGCAGTTGCCCTTAGATATAATGCCACACCCTGAGTTTAATTAAGTATCATGCGTATCTTCTGGGTCCATTAATTGTGACCTCCTAATTTGGGTGAGGGCAGGAAAGTATAAAAGACTCTCTAACAGCCCCTGATTCTGTAAATCTTGGGAGGCTTTTTCCCCTATTTAAATAGAACCAGACATTGATATTGGGGCCCCAGTTTTAGCCTAGGTTTGTGGTAGATTATTCTCCAGATCTTTAATCAGAGGGAAATGTTCAGAGAGTCACCCGGAGACCACCTTACATCTGAACTGGAGCAGGATTCCTGGGGTTCTGGTCTACCACAGTGAGCCCTTTCCCTAGGACTGCCACTCTGCCCCATTACAACATAGACAAGGGTGAGGACGGTCATTACCCAGCAAGTCGCCTGAGAGGTTGACGGGCAGGATGACACATAGGGACAAAAAGCTGACCACCACCAGCAGGAAGATGATGTGCCTCTGGAAGGACAGGTAGTGGATGGCGTCCTCCCCACACCATTCCAGGATCTGGTCATCACTGGCCAAGACACATGTGGAATCTTAATGAGCAACGGGAACAGGCCTCACGGCTCTGCATGAAGCGTCTCATATCATCCTCACCACAATCTTATGAGATGGTTTGATTGTTATCCCCACATTTTTGTTCACATATAAGGAAATAAAGGCACAGGAAATTTGCATAACTTTCAGGATCTCACATGATATAAATTCCAGAGCCCACCATCTTAGCCCCTGTACCATACTTGAGGTAAAGGAACACCAGCACTCCATCTGATGTTGCTAGAAACATTTGTGCCCAAGTTACGTGTGTGGGAAAGGTACATAAATACAGTCATCTCACAGCCCTGCCCTGCTTCTAAGGAATCACATTCAGAATAAAGTTAGGGCTGGGCGCAGTGGCTCACGCCTGTAATCCCAGCACTTTGCTGAGGCAGGTGGATCACCTGAAGTTAGGAGTTCAAGACCAGCCTGGCCAACATGGTGAAACTCTGTCTCTACTAAAAATACAAAATAATAATAATAATAATAATTAGCCAAGTGTGGTGGTGCACATCTATAATCCCAGCAACTCAGGAGGCTGAGGCAGGAGAATTGCTTGAACCTGGGAGGTGGAGGTTGCAGTGAGCTGAGATCCCGCTACTGCACTCCAGCCTGGGTGACAGAGTGAGATTCCATCTCAAAAAAAAAAAAAAAAAAAAAAAAGAATAAAGTTGGGAATATGCCCAGGCCCCCACCTGTTTCCTGTCTCCCCCTCAAGTGGAGACCTGAGGTAGAGCCAAGAGTCCCAGTCTATCCTACCACCCTGGCCTCCTCCCTGTGTCCCCAGAGATGGGGAGGTGACTTGCTCCACCCTTTCCCACCCCTGGAGTGCTACACTTGGAGGCTCTGGGTCCACTGGGGACTCAGAAAATTCCAGGTTCACACAAGCTAGACTTCTGTGCTACAGAGGGAGAAGGGGCAGGGCACTCTGCTCTTTCCCACTCCCTGAAGGCACTGCTTCTAGGCTGGGAAAGCAGTGCTTTGGGAAGAGCTCAGGGAGGCAAGGGCTGCATCGTAGAAAGGCAGATCTGAAAGATGTCAGCGTGGGCTTTACAGTCAGACCACAATGCAATCCAGCCTCCACCTGAGAGGTAAGCAGGTCACGCAGCTTACCTGCCTCTGACCTCAAGCAAGGAAACTGCCCACTGCCTACCTCATTGGCTTAACAGGGGCTCATAAGAGATAATAAGCATCAAACACCTAGTGCTGTACGTGGTATCAGCAGATGCTGAGAAATATGCCTGTTCATATGAGTCATGATTACTATTTATCTAGAGGACAAAGCTTTGCAATTAACTACATTGTTCTCATTTCTAAATAAATTAACTCACCTCCTGCTTCCTCCTGTTCCAGACCAGAGCTGACTGTCTGCCACAGGGCTCTGTCTCCTACCAGTTCCCCTGGGAACAACTCCTACCAAACCGACTATTTACAACATGCTCTCGCATGTATTCATTCCTTTGAATTAGCCTGAGCACATGTTATCCTCAGCCTCCTTCTACAGTTGGGGAAACTGAGGTCCAGAAAGAGGGACTTACTCAACATCCTATAACCACCACATTTCATCAATTCTAAGATGTCATTTTCATATTTCTTTTTTTTTTTTTTTTTGAGACGGAGTTTTGCTCTTTCGTGCAGGCTGGAGTGCAGTGGGGGTGATCTTGGCTCACTGCAACCTCTGCCTTCCAGTTTCAAGCGATTCTCCTGCCTCAGCCTCCCGAGTAGTTGGGATTACAGGCACCCATCACCAAGCCCGGCTAATTTTTGTATTTTTAGTAGAGATGGGGTTTCACCATGTTGGCCAGGCTAGTCTCAAACTCCTGACCTCGTGATCTGCCTGCCTCAGCCTCCCAAAGGGCTGGGATTACAGGCGTGAGCCACTGCAGCCGGGCATATTTCAACTCCTCTGAAATGAGGTGTATCCTATCGTGATAGTTGATGGTAGCTTAGCTGGCAACGTTTTCTTGTTCTTAGTGCTCTATAAAATAACATGCATCTTACAACAATGACTTCTTAGATTTGATGGAATATGGCAGCAGGTGAGAACCAAGACTCACATCAGTCCCCGCCTCCTGCCTCCCTCCACCACATGAGAGGTAACTAACTGGCTCTTAATCACCTTTAATAATCTTTTAGATTTCTCTCCATGGGCCCCATTGAAAAAAAGAAAACTTGTAACCAAATGAATTGAATGTATTATATTTCTTCACTTTTCACTAATTCAAAGACATGCAAACCTGCCTAGGAGAGCTTCCATTGACATCTAATTGGTGTTAAATATTAAGTTGAATAATTAAAGCAAAAAAATAGCTTTAGTTTGTGCAGTATTATGAGAGATGAACATATGATTTCCACTGAATATGTTGAAATAAATAAAGTTCATCTCTACCTTCAAGAACTCTTGGGATCCACCTCAATTTGGGAAGCTCCAGGCTCCAGGAGGGACTGTGTGCCCTCCAGCATGGAGGCTCCAATCCTACAGGCCTCCTTCCTCTGCCCCTGACCCCAGGGGCTGCCTGGCCACCTTGATTCTCAGCCCTCACATACTGCTTTGGACATTAACTGAAAAGTATCTAAGAGACCCCATCTTAAGATCAAGCATCTTGGCTCTTGCCTCTTGATTGGCCAAATACCCAAAAAAACCAGCTCAAAGGCCCCCCAGCAGCTGCCCCATAGTGTACTTACTGCAGACGGAAGATGGCAGTCAGCCAGGGACAGCATCCCTGGAAATGTAGAGAACAGGGATTAGCTTCCAACATCTGTGTCTTTGGAAGGCAGATGTAACTATTGTCTTTGACATTAAATAACCATTTAACCTCCTGTTGTACAAAAAACAGTGCTTTTATCCCATATTCAGCAAGCATGCGCCCAGTACTTCACAATATACACCACATGCCTGGAATTCCTGCTAAAATCTCTTGACAACCTCGTGGTCAAATCACAAAACTTAGATCAAATCTGATGAAAGCTCAGGGCAGCTCTGGGGAAAGTGATGTGGGCTGCTGTTTGATTGTTTACAATCACTGACCAAGAGGTGAGGCAAAAGAGAGGAAACAAGCCTAATGGATTGGATGGTCTGCTGGAATGGGTGTTAAGGGGAAAGGGTGTCTGTAGGTTTTATTGTCCTTCACATCTCTTAAACTTAATACCCCTAAAGCTGGGCTGTTATCCAGCTAGGAAAGACAAATATTTGTTCAATAATTCATTCAACAATGACTAAGCACCTACTAGGCATCAGGCGCTGGGGAACAGAGCTGGAGAAGGCAGGGCTCTTGCCCACATCTGGCTCATAATCCAGCTGGCAAGTCCATAATTAACTGTCACACAAAGCCATACATGTAAGAGAGAGAAGTGCTGGGGAAGCCCAAGGGATTCCATAGCCCTTTCCGCCTGCAAGTTCATCCAGTCTCAAGATCCCCAGTCATCCAGCTGCCATCTCTCCTGTGGTACTTCCCAAGTTCAGGTGCCTTCGTCAATGCAGAAAAGCACTTTCTCCAGCACTTGGCACTCAAGATCCACCCTGCTCCCTCCCCAAAACCATGACTGCCAGTCCCCAACGCCTGGCCATGACCACAACTGTTCCTTAGATACCAACCAGCTCATTTTCAAAGTCTTGTTGCCCTGAGGAGGAAGTCGATGACAATCTCTGAAATCTGGACTCGCTAGAGACACAAAAAAGAAAAACAATGACAGATAATTCCTTAAAAAAAAAGAAATCAAAGAGTCAAAAAGATCATGTCCAGTATTTTGCTGCCTCTTGGAGCTCAGAACCAAAGCTACCAGCCCTCAATGGCTGAGACAAAATATAACTCACTCTGTGAAAGACAGAGACAAGGACAATGACCATTCCCAGGCATGGTATAAAACTACGTTATACGGGATGAAGAGCAAGGAGTCAACACCCAGAAACCATATCATTGTGACTGGTCTAGCTAAAGTGACTTCAAAGGGTTGCCAATTTATAGCATATTTCCCAATATTATCAAATAAAATTTGGAATAAATACTACATTTTATCAAATCTAAGATACCACTGGTTGTAATTTGCATAATTATTTTATGAACTGTTAAAGAAAAAATGCTGCCAAATAACCTATGACCACCCACCAATCACAAGATGCCTCCCAATTTTGGAGATGAGAAATGTCAAAACATATGTTTTAGAGTGGACAAATGATGGCACTTTATATTGTGGCATTGTAATCAAATCCTTTCTTGCAAGTACTCCCATAAAAATACCCCATGTGCTATAAATCTGAGGTGTTTGCAATATGTGACTGCTTTTCTTTTTTTTTTTTTTGAGATGGAGTCTGGCTCTGTCACCCAGGCTGGAAGTGCAGTGGTACAATCTTGGCTCATTGCAACCTCTGCCTCCCGGGTTCAAGCAATTCTCTGCCTCAGCCTCCTGAGTGATCAGGCTTACAGGCACCCGCCACCATGCCCAGCTAATTTTTGTATTTTTAATAGAGACAGGGTTTCATCATCTTGGCCAGGCCGGTCTTGAACTCCTGACCTCATGATCCACCTGCTTCAGCCTCCCAAAGTGCTAGGATTATAGCTGTGAGCCAACATGCCTGGCCGTGACTCCTTTTCTGTAGTCTCCTATTCCTGGTTCTACTGTCCCCCTGCTAAAGACAAAACACATGACGAAACTTAACTTTAAAAGCCTTTGCAGAGACCTTCCCTTTTGACCTTCACGGTGACCTCATGGAGAAGAGACGACAGAAGGAGACCGACCCTAATAAATTTGGGGCCTTGACCGAGGTTGCACAGCCAGGGATGCAGCAGGGCCCTCTGATTCCCAAGTGGTCTTTTCAACCAGAGTGCACAGCCCCCACTTCTAGCTGAATGTGCTGTAAAGGCATCAGATGTCCCAAAAGTTTCTCCCCAACAGTCCAAGGTCATCACCTCAGGCTTTAGCAAATCCCAGAGCAGAGATCATGGGAAAGGATGGTGCATTTTCAGGTACACCTCTCCTTTTCCCAGTTCAAAGGACCCTGTCACTCAGGCCACATGTCAGGAGGGGCCCGAGAGTGGAGGGTCTGCCTGAAGAGCCCCAGGGGAGGCTCTGGGTGGCAGCTGGGCCCAGTGCCTGAGTTTTCATCACTCACTTCCTATTGCCACATCTGACATAAGATCCTGGGTGCAAACAGCCAGCTGGAGCTGGAACGTCAGGTTGTGCAGATCCAGAATTCACTGTCACCCTTTAGGCGACATGAACAGAGAATCCTAGAGCCTCACGCAGAACTAGAAGGACCTGAGGCCGAGCCGAGGGAGCCTGTGCTTTGTAACAGACTTATCCAAAGCCGGCACTGACCTGGCAGGAGGGTGGGACAGTTCCCTGACGGCTCTGCTGCCCTTCTTGATCCTCACCCAACCCTGGCCCCAAGCTAATTAATTTCAAAGATAATCACTTAAAACACTCAAGGGGAGAAAGAAAATGGGCATCCTCTTCAGAGGATGATGAAAGCCCTCAGTATCTAAAGCAACCTGTTCGAGGCCAACAAGGTTCACAGCCTTGGCCCAACAGAAGCCCTGAGGGAGCTGAGCATCTAAGCCTGCGTTTTGTTTTTTGTTTTTGTTTTGGTTTTGTGAGCACAATGAGGGTAGTGAGGCTGACCTCATGGGTCTGTGGTGAAGAGCAAAGAGAATAGCTATTGGTACAGGCCAAGTAGATACACTCAGTGAACACAATCTAATAGCAGTGTCACGTGTGGGTCCTGCCCACACGGAGGGCTTCATAAGCCCCCAGCCCATTCCAGGGACACACCCACACTATACACACATATATGTATACACACACTCATATACACGTACACACATGCATGCTCATGGCCTAGGTGATATGTCTTTACCTGTCTGCTTCTGACACCAGAGCAATGCGGCCATAGTCCCAGAATCTTCTTCTTATAATGGAAAACACCAAGATTAAGAACTAAAAACAGAAAATAAACCAAGTAAAAGCATATTGGATGGCTTCTCATTAGAAGACACAGCGGTCTCAGGGGTAAAACCCACCTGCCCGCACTCAGCAGGGCTAGAAGGAAAACACACAGGCCCAGAGAGGGCACTGAGCTGCCCAAGGCCACACAGCTCAGTAGCCTGGATGCTTTGCTCACCCCTTTCACCAGCTCCTGTCACCTGTGCCCACGCCACCAAGGCTGCCAGCGCTGATGCCAAGCTTGCCTGGAGCCTGCCTAGTTATGCACGTCAGCCCTGTCTCTTGCTCTCAAGGCAGCAGTGACACCACAAGGACCCAGTCTCAGGCCCTGATCTGCCTTCAGTGGCCCCTAAGCAGAAGGGTAAGGTCTGGCCTCACAGCAGTCCCAGGAACCAGTGTCCTTCTTCACTTTACAGAAAATTTCTTTTTTCTTTTTTTGAGATGGAGTCTCGCTCTGTCACCCAGGCTAGAGTGCAATGGCATGATCTCGGCTCACTGCAACCTCCGCCTCCCTGGTTCAAGCAATTCTCATGCCTCAGCCTCCAGAGTAGCTGGGACTACAGATGCCTGCCACCATGCCCGGCTAATTTTTGTATTTTAGTAGAGACAGGGTTTCACCATATTGGTCCGGCTGGTCTCGAACTCCTGACGTCAGGTGATCCACCTGGCTCAGCCTCCCAAAGAGCTGGGATTACAGGCGTGAGCCACCACGCTGGCCAGAAATTTCATTTTAAATTACAGAACCAAGGTAGCACAGCCTCCTCAGGCTGAGTCAGAAATGGTCAGATTTTTCCTCTGAGTTTGGTTCCCCTGAAGGCAGGCCCCGCAGGCACACAGCATGCATGCAGGCAGCAAGGCCCCACAAGAACCTGTGCTCGGGCTGGCTCCGCCTCCGTAAGCTGGGACACCTCAGCAAGCTTGTGTCCAACGGCAACCTCAGGGCTGGACTAAGCCGGTTAGCTCTAGACATCTGTACACTCTAGACTGTCCTCCCTCCCCACAGTCCACCTTGGCAGGCTCCCTGCCATGTTCCTGCCTCTCTTCCCTCTCTAGACAGGGTCCCTCTCTTTGAGGTTCAGGGAGGTAGAGAAATAAATCTTAGCAAGCACATCCCTGCCTGCTCTGATCAGAAACAGAGGTTTTGAAGGGGAGCTTTGTTTTCCTAAAGGAAATCCAGAAGACCTGAACCCCAGAGGCACTGAGTTCTCGTGGAATTTTCTTCAGGTGAATCAGGAAGTTGGTGACATATTTTCAAAGGCAGGTGAGTCGTGTTGTAGGAAAACCATGAAACCTGCTCAGCAGGTGCCTGCCCTCCCTGTCCACAGCAGCTGCCGCCCTGGCCTGTGCAGTGCAGATGTTTCCCACAAACCCATGCTCTCCAGGGCCCTCTGGCTCTTATGTGTCCCTGCTCCCCCACCCCCAAAACTTACTGCAATAAAAACCCACCCCTGGCCAGGCACTGTGACTCACTCCTGTAATCCCAGCACTTTGGGAGGCCAAGGCTGGTGAATCACTTGAGCTCAGGAGTTTGAGACCAGCCTAGGCAACATGGTGTGAAACCCCATCTCTACCAAAAATGCAAAAATTAGCCAGACGTGGTGGCTTGTGCTTGTAGTCCGAGCTATGCAGGAGGCTGAGGTAGGAGGATTGCTTGAGCCCAGGAGGAGGAAGTCGCAGTGAACTGTCATTATGCCACTGTACTTCAGCCTGGGTGACAGAGTGAGACTTTGTCTCAAAAAAAAAAAAAAAAAATTCACCTTCAGCAGCACACTCCAGTAGAGGGTGACTCTCTTCTCAACCAACACTGTTGTAACAATACCCACCCAGCCCACCTAGGGTCCCTGTCCAGACCCCCCTCTCTTTACTCCTCACCTTGGCCAAACTCTCCCCACCCTGAAGACCCAGGGCCACCCTCCTCTAATCCCACCAACTCTGAAATCCACCCCAACACCGCTGTCCACTCCTCCCTGCTACCCTAAGCCACCCTCCCCACATTCCCCACCCAAGCCTAGTCTCCAGCTCCAAGCAGTCCAAGGGTGTTTACTCCATCAGAGCTATCTGCCCCCTTCATTCAGATGGTCTCTGCTACATGTTAGGAGACAGCATCAAGAGGCACTGGCCAGCCCATGGCATTTGTGAAAAGAAGAGGCACTTTAACCCCAATAAATCTCAGCCAGCTAACGTTGAGTCTGCATAAGGAAGAACAATGACATGTTTCAAATTGGAGGCATCCTTGTAAACAAGGAGATCTACGTTAAAGAAAGGCCACCTGCTGAAGGCACGCTCTGAGAACCAGCTTTTGATTTTTTTTTTTTTTTTTTTTTTTTGAGACAGAGTCTTTGATTGGGAGCAGGAGTGAGAACCACGCAGC